ATATAGTATGAATATATGAACATAAATATATAAAATATATGTATATATATGTATATTTATAAAATACCCATGTATAATATAAACACAAAATCTCAGACTTAAGTACCAATAATTCAATTTTATATCTTTTATTCAAATTTAGAATTGTCTTTTAAAGACAATTTATTTTAAATACTGTATTGTCTGTAGACTTACACTTTACTCTGTGTGGATTTCAGTATGTGAAAGTGAGTTTAATGAGTTCAACTTACCAATTCCACATTTGACAGAGGTGTAATATCCAAATTATATAAATAACTCAAAGAGCTAGGTATCCAAAAGCCACTTAATCCAATTAAAAGTGTGTGTGCACTATTTTTGATGCTACTGTGTCCTTACAGACAGCAGCCTGGGATGACTGACCTCTGAGAGGCCCAATAAGCAGCTGGTTGAGACAGACATAGATACACTGAACCACTGAACTGTGAAGTCAGGGACTCCTATGATTAAATTAGGTGAAAGTTTGAAGAAGCTAAACAGAAGGGCAATCCCATAAGAAGACCTGCAGTCTCAACTGACTGGGACCCCTGAGATCTCTTACACAGTGAGTCATGAACCAGGCAACCAACAGGAGCTGGTTAGAGGCCCTTGACACATATACATCAGAGGACTACCTGGTCTGGCCTCAGTGAGAAAAGAAGAGCCTAAGCTTGGAGAGACTTGAGGCCCTAGGGTGTGGGGAGGTCTGGGGGAGGGAAATCTTCTTGAAGACAGGAAAAGAAGTTGGATGAGAAACTGGGAAAGGACAACAGTAGGGCAGCAATGGCTGGACTGTAAAACAATTAAAGGTAATAGTAATGAAAAAGTAGAAAAAATACCCACATGCAAAGTAATAAATAAAATAAAATTTAAAAAATATGTCTACATGTAGCCTTCACCTCTAAGCCCTAGTTCTTCCACTCCTCCACAGGAAGGTACTTAATATAGAGAAACCTAGACACCAACCTAGCCAAGAAATCCTGAACCTACATTTTGTCCTTCCAGCAAGATGTTCTGGAACAGTGGTGGTAAGAATGCTGCATTGCTGAGCTTTGGTATGATAGATACTGCTGATAAAATTATCCGTTACCTGAGGTCAGTATTTCCATTTTGGTCAAGCTTCAAGAATGTCATATATAGCTTGATCATGCTAGCCCGTTTTGTCCTGAAAATAATTTTATTCCTGCCCATCTTGTTAAAGATTCCCTTTAACAACATCAACATGTTGGCAGCCAAAGTACATGCCTTGAAACTGAAAATGAACCCCAGACATAGGTATTAATTTAGCAGACTGGCAAGCCAAGAACAGGTAAGTTCTGCACAGAGCTTTAACAACTTAAGACATAATTGCGTTGCTTTTAATAATGCATATTCCATGATAGGTAAGGAAGACATTCTTGTCAGAATTCTCTAAGAGAGGCTCAGTCTTGTTTATGAAATAAAAAAGGGGGAGATATGGAGAGCTTTTGGGACTGCATGGCAGGAATCTGACATTGGCCAAGGACAAGGAAATGGGCTTCAGGCAGGAATATGACATTAGGCTAGAACAAAGAAGTAATTTCAGGCAGGAATCTAGATTTTAGGCTGGAACAAGGAAGTAGGCTTCAGAGATGAAAATAAATTTGGGCTAGGACAGGGAATTAGGCTCAAATATTTTGATCATCCTGATAAGCCCCTAGAAACAGTGATCTCAGGACTTTTCTTATTGTCTTGCTTGTTCCTTGACTATTTGTGTTTATTGTCTTGTTTGTTCTTTGAGTATTTGCATCTATTGTATTGCTAGTTCCATGATCTAGAACTGACTTTAATACTTGCATGCAATTAAAATGGTATAAAAGCAGATTTGGAAAAGATGAAAAACTAAATAAAATTTAAAAATTAAATTAAAATCAACAACAACAACAAACAAACAAGCAAAAAAACTTGTAGGAGGGAACCTCCTAGAGCTGGCTTAACTTGAGACTCAAACCACAAGAGGGTGCCCATTCCCTATACTACCTGGAAGGCCAGAAACCTAGAGTAGAATCAAACATAACTGCCAATAATAATGATAATAAAATAATTATTTTTTTAAAAATCAATGAAATAATTTCTAATAATATACATAATATAAGTATAATTATAGATCAGTTCCTTGGCACCTTGAAAAGTCATATTCAGAGATACATCCTCTGGCACTAGGTTGGAGCATGTGCAGAGACCCATAGCCAGACATTAGGAGGAGTCAGTATAAACTAGAGGTCTCTTACCATAGGGTTTCTAGCCTTGGAATTCAGGGAGACCCACTAAAGAAGGGATGAGATTCTTCATACAATAAGCTTATAATAAGCTTATATATATATATATATATATATATATATATATATATATTTATATATATAATATGAGTATAAGATGGGATGTGTTCAGTGTTAAATTCAGTGTAAATACTACTGTATCCAGACAAAAGAATATGCTTTTTTCTTAATATATTTCAAGGATAGTGTTCTACTATTTAGGAGAAACTATATACTACATATTTTATGTAGGATAATTTATTCACTGGATATATATATATATACCTAAGACTTGGGACATGTTTTTACATGTGGAATTAAAAGGTTACTTATCTTCAAAGGAAACCAATTTAAACTGCCCTCAATAATGCATAAAAATACATTTCAATAAAACAAATAATTACAGTTTAAAGTGTGAGACCTTGTATTTCCTGTGAAACCAGTAAAGTATTTCCTTTCAAATTGGAATATGTATTGAACGCCCATTTTCACTTTGGTCACCATACATAATCTAAAGTCATAATTCTGCATCTTGGAGTTTAAACTATTCCATGTGAGGCACAGAGTTTGCTGATCCACAGCTTCATTTCAAGTTCTGTTTTTTAGAATTTCTGGTGACTTCCTGAGCAAAATGATAGAGAATTGTTTTGTCCCTATGATTATTACGACTACTCCTAAGAAAATTTCTATGGTTGTAATTGTTACGCTAGCTTATTGTTATGAATAGTTACCAATTTCATTTTGTACTTTCAGCTTTCACCATATGAATTGCATAAAACAAGCTATTTTTCTTTATATTTGCACAATATGACCCCAGTTTTTGAACTTTCCAGTCACCTCAGGCTTTGCTATAGATGATGCCATAACTAACTACACAACAGGATATTTAGTTTCCTAGCTAATTCATGTATATTGTACCTTTCTAAAATCATTTTTTATTATAATCATTTATATGTTTTATTCACATTTTCTATCTGACATAATGTTGTTTTTTTTTTCAAATATGCTTTGTGTACCTAACATAGGATCAAATCTCCCTCCAAATAATATATACGCAATTTTTAACACTTAGGGCTTCTGAAAGTGACTTTGTCTGGAGAATATGTAGATAAAGTTATCAAGTAAAATCGCCCTAGCATAGGGATGTTATTCAGTATTATTGATATCCCTCTAAGAAGGTGACCCCATGAAGAGAACTCATAGCAGAACAGAACACAACACAGATCAGGTACCATGCATCTCTAAACTAAGGTGTGAAAAGTCTATCTGCTAACATCCAGAAGCAAGGGAATTGCTAGAGAGGACATTTTAATGTCTTGCAGAAGCAGTTATGTACCAACAACATATTTTCTCACATCTGAATCCAGAGCTGACAAATAAAAACATTTATTTTGACTTAAGTCTGTTATATTTTAGTATGCTCATTGTAGGAAGGCAGTACATGGCTTATACCTTGCTCTAATAATTTAAACTTGGCATTCCTGAAATATGGAGGGGCTATTTGTTTACTCCCTGTTCTTTCTGGTGACTTTGGTCTTGCCTCAGAAAACTGTGTTATTTAAATTGCTTCCAGATCTGAATGTGACATTTATTGTTGATCTATCATCTCTAGGTTTTATGATAACAGCTGATCATTATCAGCATACTTCCTCCCCATTCTTCTTTAATAAGAACACTAACCATACTTTCTTTTGTTTTCTTTTTGTTATGTGCCGTGTAAGTTAGACAATGTTGATAACATCTTATTTTTAAGTAATGTTTTGAAAAATATTTATTGTATTTAATTCACAGGGACTCTTTATGAAACACAACATACTCTTAGAGCTCTATTTTATTTTTGAATGCAAATTTTCTTTATTAACCTTGCTATAATATTGTAATTTATATGTCCCAAGAAAAATTCAGATTAATATATAGATAATGAGTTTGGAAAAGATGGGTTTCTGAGTTTATTACTTTGGATAAGCTGACACAATTTTATTTCTTATCCAGAAAACATATTATATTTTCTAGCTTTCTTTTTCAAATTACCTAGATCATATGAAGTTGACAAAATTAATCACTGTATTTTCAAAATTTTGTATTCAATAAAGTAATTTATTAGTAAAAAAATGTTCTGGCATGGAATTTTAAGTAAGAACCTGACTTGAAAGGTATATGATTCACAATTCTACAAATCACACCTACAACAAAGTATCTATTATTCAGAGTAAATCATCTGTGAAAATTTGTTTGTGGGTACATGGCTTAAGATTTTATTCCAAAATAAGTAGAAGCATGGCAAATATTTCTCTTTTGATTTATGTTCACATGCATTTTACTGAAATTCATGTATTCTAATGTATAATCATAGACATAAAGAATAAGAAAACAACAAATATAGATTAGTTTAACTGAGCTAATGTATGTAGTCTTTGCCATAAACTGAAAAAAATGGAAATTCAATAATACAATTATGTATCTATGGAAACAAAATAATATATTGTCCACAGAAAATAAAATAATGGATAAATGCAGACTCCACTAGCTAGTAGCTCTGTTTCTTAGTAGACAATCAATGGGTTTGTATATATAAGCAATCTATTCCAACTGAAAAAAAGTGAGATTACATTATTTCTTTATTTTAAAAATAAGTTCATTTCTAATGTAATAAAATGTTTTTTTCTAATTATAAAATAAATCTAACATACTTAAAGAACAAAGTTACTTGCCTCTAGAGGCATGTCAGATGTTCCTGCTCTGTCACATGTGTGTCACTAGGTGGCCAAGAAGAGAAAATCTATGACGTTTAGTGTTCTGATCTACAGACATTGGGACAATTAATAGCCTAGCATTCCCTGAAAGAAGCAAGCCTGAGATGACTGGCAGTACAAGACTGCACAGGACTGGAGGGCTTTGCAAGATGGGAACAATTTGGAGACAAGAAAAATCCCCGTCATGGATCACATTCCTGATCAGGAGTGAGCCTGAGATACATGACCCATACATGGGGCAGCTAGGGAATGTATGTGAAGAGCAACCATAGGTGACCACTGGACAAGCTTCTTGAAGCACAGCTAGGCTGAGATCTAGGCCTAAGCGGCAGATACTGCATGAAGTGACACTTGTCTGGTACCCATAAAGCATGAAAAGAAAATAGCATTTCAGAAGCCACTCCTGAGGTGACACCAGACAGTCAAAGACCTGGGGCATCACTAAGATTATCAAGTAAGTGGTAGAGAAATGGAAGAAAGAGAAACAGAAAGATGTGGGCCCAATGAAGGGAGGCAGAATGAGATTCAATGGGTAGTGTGAAACAACCTGATATAAGTAGCTAGTTATCTCACCCAGGAATATCAATGGGTCCTCCCTTTGTTTCCACTGGACACCATGTCTGTGTCTATGGCAGTGAGGCAGTTGAGGTCTATTACCACCAAAGACCAATGGATGTCCCTGGTCTGGACTGATGTCCAGAGACATGTTGATGTCTGAGGACTGTGAAGAACTGACCCTGTTTTTCACCTGGTCATGGCTGGAGAGCTAGCCCTAGTGTCATGAGAACAGGAGACATGATCTGACTTGAGCCTGCTACAGTACTGAGCAGAATGGCCCTTTATATTGAAGAAATAGCAAGTTAGCCAACTGAGGATATGAATGTGATAGAGTTGGTAAAACAAACAACTCTCATGTGATGGCATGGACAAAGATGATATACCCTCTTCCCCCTTTGCCACTCACCAGTGGCAGCTTGTGGGAGGCCTGGTCCTGGGATCAAGAGAGCAGGAGAGCTGTCTTTGTCCTCACTAGCTGTAGCACAAAGAAGACCTGACCCTGTGATTCACCTGGTCAGCAGAGTAGAGCTTACCTTGGTGGGAATCATAGGTAAGCCTCTTCAATATGTAAGAGCAAAAGAACTGGTCCTGACACTTGTCTGTCATGTGTTCCCATGGGCTATAAAGAGATGAGACAACTTCTTGCCCCCTACCACCCATGGTAGGCTGGAGAGCAGACCCCCAGGTTGATAAGAAAAAGAAAGCTGTCCCTACCCCTCAGTTGCTGCAGCATTCCTAACAGAAGGTCCTACACCTCACCTGGGCACCACAGTACAACTGACCACCATGGCAGAGGTGCCAGTGAGCCAGCCCTAAGAGGAATCATGGGTCCAGCAACTTGTCTACCGTGCAGCAATGTTCCAGAGAGAGGTACTCTCCACCAACACTCCTAACTTGTTCCATAAAGAAAGTGTGGGATCTAGCCCTGTGGTCCTGAGAGCAGAAGAAGTTATCCATATCTCTCACCTGCTGTGGCATTTGCTAGAGAATTACCTACAAATTGCTTGAGCAGGAGGATAGAGATAGATCTAATAATAGTGGTTGCTCTTGAGTTGGTATCAAACCTGTTGGACTGCCTGAATATCTCAAATACTTCTGAGATCAGGGTTTTGAATCAGCCCATAACAACATATCACCATCCATAAACTGCTAGAGTTCATGAAGGAACCAGTCCTACAGAACCAAAACTATAGGATCTCCATGACCCAGGACAACATTAGAATATCGAAGTATAATCCCAGTGAGGTTGACTATTGATAGAGTAGCAGAAGCCAAAGACTTTGTACCAGACCAATGAACATTTTCAATGAGCATTTAAAGGAAATACAGGTAGACAAAATGGTGTACTATTTAACGTACTGTGCTACAAATACCGCTTCCAAAATTAGATTTTTTTTTCTTCATTGGACAGGAGGTTGCAAGAATGGAGGATTAGTGTGAAGGTAGAGGGAGATGAGTGAAATTTGGGTATATGAGGTGAAATTCACAAAGAACCAATAAAAAGTATTAAAAGAAACTAAGTGATTATATATATATATATACATATATATATATATATGCTATTGCTTAATTATTTCTGGTATAAATTATTGAAGTTTATATAGAGCATTCAATAATACATCTTGGTGGTTGACTATTAACTAGGAAGCCTTAAAGTCATTAACTATAAAAAATAAGAATACTTTATGTGTGATTTACTAAGTGATCCTAAAATTAGATGTGTGTTTTCATGCTGGTTTACTGCTCAAAGAATGAGATGTGCAAAATTTATTTAACTACCAGTCTTTGAAAAGTAGTTCCAAGTAGCAGACTGTTGTCTTTTTTTATATTTTTACTTCTTTTTTACTTTACTGGGAAGAAATCCTTGAATCAAGGCAACTTAAAAGAGCTTATTTTGGTTCAAAGTTCATATAATTTTCTATCATGAAGTAGAAGACACAGTGCCCAGTGCCTGAGGGATCAGATGTGCCATATCCATAGTCAAGGGAAAAAGACAAATGAATGCATGCTCATCTTCATTTATCTTCCTCTCTTTCATATAATTTTGGACCCCTTGCCCAGGAAATGATTCATTTCACAAATAACAGGGATTATTAAAAATTAATGTACATAATCAAGATAAATCTCCACAGACGTGCTCAGAGGACTACGTCCCAAAGGGATTCCAAATGCTATCAAATTGACTACCCTAAGAAGCACAATAGTGTTTGACATATTATTGCGTTTGGTAGTTTAGAATATGACATTAGGAATAAGGTTGGTTCAATATACAAAAATCCATTAATGTAATCCACTATATAAACAAACTCAAAGGAAAAAAAGCTTACATGATCATCTCATTATATCCTGAAAAAACATTTAACAAAATACAACAGCCCTCCATGATAAAAGTATTAACGAGATCAGCACTTCAAGGCCCATACCTAAACATAATAAAAGCAATATACAGTCTGGCAAGCCAAGGATGGGTAAGATTCTGCACAGAGCCTTAAACAGAAGTGCATTGCTTTTAATAATGCATATTCCATGGTGGGTAAGGAAGGCGTTCTTGTCAGAATGATCTAATTCAGGCTCAGTCTTGTTAATAAAATAAAAAAGGAGGAGATTTAGAGAGCTTTGGGGGCTGACTGGAAGGAATCTGACATTGGACAAGGAAAAGGAAATGGACTGCAGGCAGGAATCTGATATAAGGCTAGAACGAAGACATAATTACAAGCAAGAATCTAAATTTTAAGCTAGAACAAAGAGGTAGGCTTCAGGCATGAAAATGACTTGGGATAGGACAGGGAAGTGGGCTCAGATATTTTGGACATTCTGATAAGCCCTTAGAAATAGTGATCACAGTAGTAATCATGGGACTCTGTTTATTGTTCTGCATGTTCTTTGACTATTTGTGTTTGTTGTCTTCCTTGTTCCTTGACTATTTATATATATTGTATTGCTGGTTCCTCAACCTAGAACTGAACCTAACTCTTGTATGTAATCTAAATGGTATAAGAACAAAAAAAGGAGGAGAAGGAATGGGATAGGGGATTAATGTGGAAAGGGATGACATCTTAAATGTAAATAAATAAAATATCAAATAAAAAATAAAAGTAATATACAGCAAACCAACAGCCAATACCAAATTAAATGGAGAGATACTTGAAGCAATCCCACTAAAATCTGGACAAGACAAGGCATCCCATTCTCTCCCTCTCTATTCAGTATAGTACTCAAAGGTCTAGCTAGATAATTTTTCTATAGATAAAAAGATTTAAAAATTTGAAGATTTGTTTTAAGCCTAAGAATCACACAATCAAACTACTGAATTAAGAATATGTTAAATATTTATTCAATGTTATAGTACTTTGAGATTATTAGTATATGGAGGCTGGAAGTCATATGGACATATGACTATTTTATAATGCTGAAAGTATCTTTATGATTGCAAGTTTGAAAACGAGTTTTGAGAAGATTAACAAAAATTGTATTTTGAGGTGATTTTATGGACAAAGAAGTAAATATGCATTTAGCTGGAAATTATCCTAGATAAGTGTGTTATAAACTTCTCAATAAATTTCAAATAGCTAGGAATAAATTCATGGCAATGGCAGGCATATAATTTTTTTCTTCTTAAAACAAATCTAAAAATTATTTTTTTGTGTGTGTAAAGAAAGCTGGTTTAAAGTTTCAGAAACTAAAATTGTAGAAAAGGGCATTTTGAAACATACTTCAAATATGGAAATATTCTTGTCACTGCCTTGTCTAGTAGAGACAAATATTACTTTGAGAGGCTGTCTTTGATTGAATTATCCACTCTGCAGGTTCCATGTTTCACAATGCTTATTTTAGGATCCCGGCCTTTTGAAATTCCACCTGGGTAGAGGGTCAAGTTTAACAGGTCCAAGAAAGTGCAAGGGACAATCAAATCAAATCTGATCAAGATGCTGGAGGACTTATCTGGCAACATTGCTTTGAACGACCTTCATAATATTAACAGAATGTTTTTCTAAGTGAATAATAATGTTAAAGTGCCATTTTCTGAGGCTTGAGTGGTAGTTCAGGTCTGAAGCACATGATTGGCATATATAAAGCCCTGGTCTCAAACTTCAACAACAAAAGGCACTTCTGTCCACACAGACAGTTTCTTTGCATTTTTATACACTGGAGATTTCTTATTTTAAGCTCGTTTCAGAAAAAAAATGTGTGTGGCTCATTGACATTAACAGTGGAGAGGCAGCTAAAATATAAAAAGAGCACTCAAATTTTATAGTAAGTTCTAACAAATAGTACTACTGATGTGTTCATGGAGTTTTATAAATTCCTTGATGTTTACTTAATTTACAACATCTCAGTCTCTTCTTCTCTGTAGTAACATCCATGATTTTCTTCTAGCCATATCTGGCTAGCAAAACTGAATCTATCCATGAAAAGTGGATTTATGCTGTGGCATCATGGATACCTGAGTGTTACAGTCCTATTTCCAAGACAGTGTCATAAAAGACTCCCAAAATTTTATCAATTTTATAAAGGAAGAAAAAT